TTGACCGCTCACAATTTCCATGACAAGTCCGCGTAGCAGTTTTGCTTTTCATATTTGTACGCAGTATTCAAGGATCATCGATTTACCTAGGTCTCAGTTAAGAAGTTCAATGGGAAGTTGAAACACTTCTCTGGTGAGACTGTGAAACTCAAACGTTTTAAGCAATTTGTAAACAATCCTTTTCGTTAACAACAATTTCATGAACACTTTCGATTTTGGTGTATGGAGCTTTACAATTTTTACCCACGTTTGTCCCCTTCAATCATCCTGACAGGCACCCGACTAAAACAACTTGTCAAGTGGCCGAGAATGTACCAGTGCCTTGAATAGCAGTGAGAGGGCGCTTACAATCACAACACTTCATCATAGTGACACTGCAAGAACAAATTGTTTTCTAGTTCTGCTAGCGGTCGATTTCTCGTATCACCCCCTTACGACACACCCTGCGGCATGTTGCGGACGGTGAGCAGGCCGACACACAAATCTAGTGCTTTACATGATAGAGAGGCCACATGATGCACTCAATTTACTTGCCGTATATCAGGGGATGCTGACCAAGTCGCTAGCGCACCGCCGTCTCAAAGCAGGGACAAGCTACTGGTGCAGTTTAATTTTGGCACATTCCCGACGGCACCTTTTTTGACTTTTTGATGGAACGAGCGCGATTTTACCCCCGCTTCACCTCACATCCGTGGATTTTGCGCAGCAAATGTACAAAAACACAAACAGCACAAAGAAATTTCGGCAATCAGCGGGACTTTGAATTATTCTGACATCAAAAATATGCAAAAAAAATACGAAAAACGGTTGGAAGACGATTATTAGCTACAGCGATATGGGCTGCCACCAGCCTGAATACGGTAAAGTAGGAGAAACCACCTCCAGCTTGTGAAGTCCGCGCTAGCCAGGTGCTAATTAGCAACTAGGAAGATCATTCTACTAGATGACAGAAGTAATATTGCACCAAGATATGCATCCGACACATGGTCACAAAGGCACTCACTGAAAATTTAGGAAGGCGGAGAGCACAGCAACAAAAAACACAACCTCTGAAGCATGCTCCTTCGACCCGCTCGAATAATGGTTGAAAAATCGGGTATTTCCCTGGGCTCAGGAGCCACATCATGATGACCTATCAGTTCTGATTTTGTTCGCGTAAAAGGTTATTTTGAAGTAAAGTGGTGCATTTGAACAGGGTGCATTTGAATGTTCAAGTGCAAATGTCCGGTTAGCTTTCAGCAAGCTGTGAATAATTCAGTGCTGAAAGATGAAAAAGAAGAGCTTTTGCCTCTTTCTACTCAAAAACTTTTTGCAAACATCTAAACAGCGATTTCTCTCCCGCAATTTATACCACGAAATACCGTGCAAAGAAGTGCCACACAGCTTCGGGGTGGGACTCGTAAACAATCGTGCACGTTTATCGATAATCACAGTTCATTAGATGGAAGAGCATTAAGTTATGTGGAAAACTTTTTAACAGATAGTAGAGTTCCGTAAGCAAAAAAATGGTGAAATCGAATACAGGACTTGAAGTAATGCTACGGACGCTTTGATGAATGCTCTGAATCATCAGATGAGACTGATGAAGCACAAAAGAGCATCGATGACATTGCGGCTATGTATCGGGAAACAGTCAAACGTGCGCCATTCTCAGGTGATGTACTTTTAACATCCGTTTTTCAAAAGGCAAAGGAACTGAGATGCCTGTGATAACATCGTCAAGAGCAGACTACACATATCGCGAACATGTGGCCAATAAAAGTGCAAGAAGAAAAAAGCGAAAGACCGACAGAATTATGAGATTATGTGGGATAATCTAGCAGCTAACAAGCAAGCGATGGTGTTTATTTTTTCAAAAATAAAAAGGATAAAGGATAAAGCATTTGCCGTTGATCAATCCCGTTTTGGGATGCGGCACGCATTCTACTTCCATTTGTACATTCGCAGTGGCATTTGAATGCGATGTGGCCTATACAATGACTTGCGGGGGCCAGCCGATGTTCAAGTCAGTGTTTTTATCCTCCCAGACAAGTCTGGTACCAATTAACCGACCCCGGAGGGATGGAAGGCTTGGTTGGCCCGGGCGACTCACGACCCAGGATTTGATCCCGGACCGCTCGCGTGGTGAGCGCGCCACTTGTCACTGCACCACTTCCGCCCTAAACCATTACCGGGTGTTAAAAACGTTGGACGAATCGCCTAAGAAAAACGTCTCGCTAGGACGCTTTCTAGCTGATGGAGCATCATCAAAGGACCTTTCAATCACATACCATCATTAAGGAGATAACAACACAGTGCGTTGACCTAAGAATCCTAACATCACAGTGAGCTGGCAAAGTATTCAGACAATCAAGGAGTTTGCAGACGAAGTTATGACCTTTTGCATACGAACAACACTCAAATTTTTTAGCAAGCCCTTCCTTCTTATCTCGAAATGGTTCGAGAAAAGCCCCTCCCCCTACGCTACTTATAATGCCGACTCAATCGCAAAAACCAGCAAGAATTCTGAACATTGTTCCAACAAAACAAACTTTCTAGTTCCAACACATGATATTTGAGCTTTGACCTTAAAATGTGAGATGCTCCATAAGCCTGATGAACGAATATAGAAAAATTGATCACATGAGCCGAATTGATTCTTTTGAGTTTCTAAACTGACTTATCCAGTCAAGGGTTTAGTCCGAAGGACCCATAGCAATGAAGTTTGGCCTACCCGCAAGCTCACCTTCTCTTGATGTTCATACACTTATACGGAGAACGGCTCCAAACAATGAAGAAATCGGGAAAGAGACTAGATTTGGAGGGATGTCGAAAACACCATTCCTCCTTACGGTACTCCCTGGCCGTTGAATTTTGCAGTGACGGGCCACAGCATAAAGTTCACATTCAACAATATTATCGTGAACTGTTAACTTTTGACACTACAAAATGAAGAATGGCGCTATTCAGTATTATGCTATAGTCCCAATATAGCGCCGTAATTACCTCACTTGTTCTCCGCCCTTGAAACCTCCAACGACCCATCGTCCATTATTATGCGCGGAAGACTGAACCAGCCGGCACAAGGTAATTGCGATGAGAATGGCCAAGAAACAGATTATCCACACCTATTTCATAACTTCCACAAACCTTGTACACAGAAACATGGGCACAAAATTAGGAAAATAACGTTAGCATAACGCCCAATCTTCGTTCCTAGAACGTTTATCCCTGAGTTAGGCAAACAGTAATAAATAAATGTAAACTCTGCCAAAGATAAAGTCAAACGAGAAA